GTAAATCATGATAACAAACCAGTAACCAGAACCAGTAAATCATAGATTTGGTAACAAACCAGTAACCAATCAAACCATCATGATAACAAACCAGTAACCAGAACCGAACCAGTAAATCATGATAACAAACCAGTAAATCATGATAACAAACCAGTAAATCATGATAACAAACCAGTAACTAGAACCAGTAAATTATAGATTTGGTAATAAAATCAGTAACCAGTAATAAAATTAGTAACCAGTAAATCATAGATTTGGTAACAAACCAGTAACTAGTAAATCATAGATTTGGTAAAAAATCAAACCCAGAAAATCATAGATTTGGTAACAAACCAATAACCAGTAAATCATAGTTTTGATAACAAAAACCAGTAACACCAGTAAATCATAGATTTGGTAACAAACCAGTAAATCATGATAACCAAATCAGTAAATCATGATAACAAACCAGTAACCAGTCAAACCAACATGATAACAAACCAGTAACCAGAACCAGTAAATCATAGATTTCGTAACAAACCAGTAACCAATCAAACCATCATGATAACAAACTAGTAACCAGTAAATCCAGTAAATCATAGATTTAACAAACCAGTAACCAATCAAACCATCATGATAACAAACTAGTAACCAGTAAATCCAGTAAATCATAGATTTGGTAACAAACCAGTAAATCATAGATTTGGTAACAAACCAGTAAATCATAGATTTGGTAACAAACCAGTAAATCATAGATTTGGTAACAAACCAGTAAATCATAGATTTGGTAACAAACCAGTAAATCATAGATTTGGTAACAAACCAGTAATCAGTAAATCATAACTAGTTAAATCATACATAAATCATAACCAGTTAAATCATAGATTTGGTAACAAACCAGTAACCAGTAAATCATAGATTTAGTAACAAACGAGACAAAATCATAGATTTAGTAACAAACCAGACAAAATAACAAACCAGTAATAGTTAAATCATAGATTTGGTAACAAACCAGTAACTAGTAAATCATAGATTTGGTAACAAACCAGTAACTAGTAAATCATAGATTTGGTAACAAACCAATAACTAGTAACTCATAGATTTGGTAACAATCCAATAACCAAAACCAGTAATTAGTAATCCGTAAATCATAGATTTTGTAACAAACCAGTAATTAGTAATCAGTAAATCATAGATTTTGTAACAAACTAGTAACCAGTAATCAGTAAATCATAGATTTGGTAACAAACCAGTAACCAGTTCACTAGTAACCTAACTAGTAATCAGTAAATCATAGATTTGATTTGATAACAAACTAGTAACCAATCAACTAGTAACCTAACCTAATGAGTAATCACTAAATCATAGATTTGATTTGGTAACAAACCAGTAATCAGTAAATCATAGATTTATTTGGTAACAAACCAATCATAGATTTGGTAACAAACCAACCATAGATTTTGTAACAAACCAGATTTGGTAACAAACCAATCATAGATTTGGTAACAAACCAATCATAGATTTGGTAACAAACCAATCATAGATTTGGTAACAAACCAGTAACTAGTAAACCATAGATTTTGTAACAAACCAGTGACTAGTAAACCATAGTAAACCATAGATTTTGTAACAAACCAGTGACTAGTAAACCATAGATTTTGTAACAAACCAGTGACTAGTAAACCATAGATTTTGTAACAAACCAGTGACTAGTAAACCATAGATTTTGTAACAAACCAGTGACTAGTAAACCATAGATTTTGTAACAAACCAGTGACTAGTAAACCATAGATTTTGTAACAAACCAGTAACTAGTAAACCATAGATTTTGTAACAAACCAGTGACTAGTAAACCATAGATTTTGTAACAAACCAGTGACTAGTAAACCATAGATTTTGTAACAAACCAGTGACTAGTAAACCATAGATTTTGTAACAAACCAGTGACTAGTAAACCATAGATTTTGTAACAAACCAGTGACTAGTAAACCATAGATTTTGTAACAAACCAGTGACTAGTAAACCATAGATTTTGTAACAAACCAGTGACTAGTAAACCATAGATTTTGTAACAAACCAGTGACTAGTAAACCATAGATTTTGTAACAAACCAGTGACTAGTAAACCATAGATTTTGTAACAAACCAGTGACTAGTAAACCATAGATTTTGTAACAAACCAGTGACTAGTAAACCATAGATTTTGTAACAAACCAGTGACTAGTAAACCATAGATTTTGTAACAAACCAGTGACTAGTAAACCATAGATTTTGTAACAAACCAGTGACTAGTAAACCATAGATTTTGTAACAAACCAGTGACTAGTAAACCATAGATTTTGTAACAAACCAGTGACTAGTAAACCATAGATTTTGTAACAAACCAGTAACTAGTAAACCATAGATTTTGTAACACCAATAAAACATAGATTTTGTAACAAACCAGTAAACAGTAAAACATAGATTTTTAGATTTTGTAACAAACCAGTACTAGTAAACCAACCAGTAAAACATAGATTTTGTAACAAACTCGTAACCACATGTAACCAGTAAACCCCAGTAATAGTAAATAGTAAACCAAACATAGATTTTGTAACAAACATTTTGTAACAAACAATAATCAGTAACAAACCAGTAACCTAACAAACCATAGTGTAACAAAAAATCAGTAACCATAGATTTTGTAACAAACCAGTAACCATAACCTAACAAACCCATAAATCATAGATTTTGTAACAAACAGTAATCAGTAACCATAGATTTTGTAACAAACCAGTAACCATAACCTAACAAACCCATAAAACCAACAAACCCATAAAACCAATAACTAGTACCTAACAAACTAGTAACCAATACCAGTAACCCAAACTAGTAACCAATACCAGTAACCATAACCTAACAAACAAGTAACCATAGATTTTGTAACAAACCTAACCTAACAACAAACCAATAACCTAACAAACCATTGATTTTGTAACAAATAGTAAGTGCCAGTAAACCAGATAGTAACCATAGATATTTTGTAACAAACCAATAACGAGTAAAAGTCATAATAACTAGTATGGTAACAAACCATAATAACCAGTAACCAGAAAATTATAGATTTGATTTGGTAACCATCATAACCAGTAAATCATAGATTTGATTCAGTAACAAACCATAACCAGTAATCTAACAAACCAATAACCCAAACCATAACCAGTAACCCCCAAACCATAACCAGTAATCATAGATTTGGTAACAAACCAGTAACCAGTATTCATAGATTTGGTAACAAACTAGTAACCAGTAATCATAGATTTGGTAACAAACTAGTAACCAGTAATCATAGATTTGGTAACAAACCAGTAACTCATAATTTGTAACAAACTAGTAACAGTAATCATAGATTTGGTAACAAACTAGTAACCAGTAATCATAGATTTGATAACAAACTAATAACCAGTAATCATAGATTTGGTAACAAACTAGTAAAAGTAAATCATAGATTTTGTAACATACAAACCGAGTAAATGTAAATCATAGATTTGATTTGGTAATAGTAAATCATAGCTTTGATTTGTTAACAAACCATAACCACTAAATCATAGATTTGATTTGGTTAACAAAATTTGATTTGATAACCAATCATAGATTTGATTCGGTAACAAACCATAACCAGTAAATCATAGATTTGAATCGATAACAAACCATAACCAATAAATCATAGATTTGATTCGATAACAAACCATTTGATTCGGTAACAAACCATAACCAGTAAATCATAGATTTGAATCGATAACAAACCATAACCAATAAATCATAGATTTGATTCGATAACAAACCATTTGATTCGGTAACAAACCATAACCAGTAAATCATAGATTTGAATCGATAACAAACCATAACCAATAAATCATAGATTTGATTCGATAACAAACCATTTGATTCGGTAACAAACCATAACCAGTAAATCATAGATTTGAATCGATAACAAACCATAACCAATAAATCATAGATTTGATTCGATAACAAACCATTTGATTCGGTAACAAACCATAACCAGTAAATCATAGATTTGAATCGATAACAAACCATAACCAATAAATCATAGATTTGATTCGATAACAAACCATTTGATTCGGTAACAAACCATAACCAGTAAATCATAGATTTGAATCGATAACAAACCATAACCAATAAATCATAGATTTGATTCGATAACAAACCATTTGATTCGGTAACAAACCATAACCAGTAAATCATAGATTTGAATCGATAACAAACCATAACCAATAAATCATAGATTTGATTCGATAACAAACCATTTGATTCGGTAACAAACCATAACCAGTAAATCATAGATTTGAATCGATAACAAACCATAACCAATAAATCATAGATTTGATTCGATAACAAACCATTTGATTCGGTAACAAACCATAACCAGTAAATCATAGATTTGAATCGATAACAAACCATAACCAATAAATCATAGATTTGATTCGATAACAAACCATTTGATTCGGTAACAAACCATAGATTTGATTACCAGTAATCATAGATTTGGTAACAAACCATAGATTTGATTACCAGTAATCATAGATTTGGTAACAAACCAGTAACCAGTAATCATAGATTTGGTAACAAACCAGTAACCAGTAATCATAGATTTGATAACAAACCAGTAACCAGTAATCATAGATTTGATAACAAACCAGTAACCAGTAATCATAGATTTGATAACAAACCAGTAACCAGTAATCATAGATTCGATAACAAACCAGTAACCAATAATCATAGATTTGATAACAAACCAGTAACTAGTAATCATAGATTTGATAACAAACCAGAATCATCTTACTATACAAATATGATCTATTCTACGTTTAAACGATATTCTCTTATTAAGATTAAAAAAACATAAAAATAAAAAAAAAACAACGCAAGGCTTATAATTCGGCAATACAAGGAGTCATAAGACGTTACACTAGGAGCAATTTGTTTCCAAATGAATCAAGCAGTTTCTCCCCAGTACCTTTAGGCAAAGTCATCAGTCATTGTAACCACCTCCTCCCTGGTATGAACTGGAGCGATTGTAGCCGGAACTGCCGCCGTCATAACCACCACCACGAGACCTTTCAGTCGCGAAGTTCACTCTAATGTTGCGCCCATGGAGATCCTGATTACAAAAAATGAACAATGTAAGAGAAAACAGTAAAGATATTACTGACCCACAACAGAATCAACTGGAACCCCTGGTGGTTTAAATAAACTGATGGCAAAGCCACACTGATCCGTGGAGTCAACACTACCACAAAAGCCCCCCATAACATAAATTCGTTTACCTGTCCATCCAGCGCTTGGATAGCACTGGAAGCCTCCTCGTTCGCGGTGAAAGTAACAAACCCAAAACCTCTGGATCTTCCGGTATCACGATCCGTTATCACTCTCGCTAAGACAAAGGTAGACATACATAAAAATCAGAGTCATTCACCGGCTAGAGGAAGTGCCCTCGAATATTACTGATTTCACAGAAAGACTAAATATAATTTCAATTTTCCGTATACAGATGATGGGCAGCAGTGTGTATGTACCCTAGCAAATAAAAGTAGGTTTTTTTAAATAAAAAAAATGGTTAATTAGATTAGTTTCCTGCACACCTTCAACTACTTCCCCATACTTGTCGAACGCTTCCCTCAGACTCTGGTCATCAGTACCATAAGAAAGGCCTGCAAAACAAAGCAACGGATCTCAGGTAAAGTCTTAATAGACCACCAAGGTGTAAGAAAGAACAGAAGAACGGGAATTCTAGCTTACCTCCAACAAAAACTTTCGAACTTGACATTAATCTAATACTTTGAAAGATAGACAGTTTGGAAGGTTGCAAATCCGAACGGATCATTGATGCAGAACTCTTCCTAAATACCTTTCCAACTTTGCTAAGAAAAGCCATGTTGACGACCTGAAACGAGTATTAACCAAATGAATAAGTAAAACTCCAGAGGGAACAAAAGGTAGTTGTGCAAGATGACACTGTGCTACAAATATTTAGAACTTTCAATGTACATCGACTCCATAATCGAAAAGAAAGCTTTTGGTTTGTATCAAATTCAAACAGTCTCAACCAGAGCAAAAGAACGCTGGATCACAATCAGAATCAGAATCATTCTTAACCAGAACATATATACCCGGAACATTAAAGAAGCCTTACATGTCGAAATCAAAAAGACACAACACAAAAGAAAAATGAAAGAAAACTTCCAATCACATCATATCTAAGTTCAGAGAGGAGAACAATCTTTGTATTTCTTCTAAACTAGTTGAATCAAGATTAATGAAGATTAATTCAAAATCACAGATTTAGTAACATAACCAGAAAATCACATAATCACATATTTGGTAACAAAACCAGAAAATCACATAATCACAGATTTGGTAACATAACCAGTAGATCACAGATTTTGTAACAAAACCAGTAGATCACAGATTTGGTAACAAAACCAGTAGATCACAGATTTGGTAACAAAACCAGTAGATCACAGATTTGGTAACAAAACCAGTAGATCACAGATTTGGTAACAAAACCAGTAAATCACAGATTTGGTAACAAAACCAGTAAATCACAGATTTGGTAACAAAACCAGTAAATCACTAGATATGGTCTATTTTACGTTTAACAGACTCATAAAAAATCACCACAGAAAGACAAAAGATCTAAAAACAAAACACATCAGTCAAAATATAGAACAAAAAGTAAAAAAAAAAAATACAGAAACATGAGAATGAAGATGAACAACATTACAAAACAACGAAAGGAAAGGAAAGGAAAGGAACAAGGAATCGGACGTGCAGATAGAACCTTTGTTGGCTCTCTTCGCTTCTTTCACAGTCGAGCTTAAACCCTAGGCCTTGAATTCGAGCAGGGTTTTATGACAGCCGAATGATTGGAAGAGCGATTTAAGTAGAAGCTAAAAGCTTGTATATGAACCGTTGGATAATGAAAGGGAGAGTGGAGGCCGTAGGATGAGAAAGATATTGGTGGGGGCTGACGTGTCATTCTTACATTGAACAGTAACTCTTTGAACCCTAAACCCAAACGTTATGTAAAATTACTATCGTACCCTTGGAGACTTTTCCCGTTGATATTTGCCCCTTTCTCTCGAATGTCTTTCCATTTGTACCCTTTTACGCCCTAATAAAAATATCTCTAAATTTTAAAATACATTTCAATTATATTATTAAATATCTAAAAATTTCATTTTAACCATTTAACTTTAAAATTATTTTAAAATTATCATTAGATATTAAATTAAAATAACTTATTTATTGTAAAATTTAAATCGTTTCAATTTTTAATTAAATGTAATTTTGCTTTTAAAAAATAATATTTTAAATCTTGGAAGCTCATAAATGCTTTGTCCAGCTTATAAAGTGGGTAGACTGTGTTTTCGAATTAAATTACAAGAACTACTCAATTATAAGAAATGACACGAAATGTCAATGGGACGAGAGAGATGATCATGGAAGTTCGAGGGAAATCTAGTTTCAATTTCGGAGCTTGCGATTTTCAAGTTCAATTTCTCTCTATAATTCATCACCGACCTTAATCAACATAAGTTCATCCGTTAAGAATGAGAAATAGAAATAGAATTGTGATCGAAAGTATAATTTTCATTAATGTTAAATAGGATACAAACTATCAACTAATGCTTAAATAATGCTTAAAATGAGGGAAAATATATATATAACTAAATCTTGTAAATAAGATAAAATATACGGTTAATCAAATCCTAACATAAAATATACTACTAACAACTCAAACATAAAATATACTACTAACAACCCCCAAAAATAAAGAAAAAATATTAATCGATTATGGATATATAAGATATACTCCGTAACTAATTATTAAAATATATTCCCCAAATATCATAGGTTTAGTAAAAACATCTGCCAATTGCATTTTAGTCGAAACATAACACGGTTTGATGATTCCAGCTTGTAACTTTTCTCGAACTATATGATAATCTATTTCAATGTGTTTCGTACGTTCGTGAAAAACTAGATTGGCTGCTATATGTAATGCTGCTTGATTATCACAATATAACAATGCTGGTTCGGACAATTGAACATTTAAGTCTTGAAGAATGTATCTTAACCAAGTTAACTCTAAACAAGTATTTGTCATAGCTCGATACTCGGCTTCTGCTGATGATCTGGACACATTAGTCTACTTTTTAGACTTCCAAGAAATAATTGAATTTCCGAAGAAAATGCAGAACCCAGAAATAGACCGTCTGGAAGTTCGACAACCACCCCAATCAGAAACGCAATATGCTTGTAATCTTAAATTGTTTTCAGATGGTAGTAGGAGTCCTTGACCAGAAGTGCCTTTGATGTATCTCAGAACTCGAAGAGCTGCCTCCCAATGTGGTTTTCTTGGTTCATGCATAAATTAGCTAAGCATACGAACTGAATAAGCTATGTCAGGCCTGTCAAATATATTAATATGTCAATCAACCGTCTGTATTTACTTGGATTATTCAACTTCTCTCTTTCAGTTAAAGAAAGTTTCAGATTTTGCTCCATAGGAAATTTTTCTGGACGTGCTCCAGACCTATGTCTTGAAGAATGTCTAGAGCATACTTCCTTTAAGACATAAAAATTCCTTCTAGACCAAGAAAATTCAATGCCTAGAAAATATTTTAAATTTTCTAAATCTTTGATAAGAAATTTCTTGAGTAAATTAGTTTTGAGATATTGAATTTCTTTGAGATCATTGTCTGTCAACAAAATATCATCAACATAAATTAGAATGGTAGTGAAAGAAGTACGTTTACTCTTAGTAAATAAAGAGTAATCTGCTTTGTACTGAGTGTAGACTGCATTTTGTATAGTTGTAGAAAATATGGAAAACCAATTGCGAGAAGCCTGTTTTAATCCATAAAGAGATTTATGGAGCCGACATACTGTATTCTCCCCCTGTCGGCAAAGACCTGGTGGTAAATACATATAGACTTTCTCGTCTAGATTACTATGGAGAAAGACATTTTGAACATCCAACTGATGGATGAACCATTTTCGAGCAGCAGCAACACTGAGTAAGCAATGAAGTGTAGTAAGTTTCGTTGTAGGAGAAAATGTCTCTGTGTAATCAATACCTTCAACCTGAGTGTATCCCTTTGCTACAGAGTTGTATTTAATTTTGTACATTCAACGACAACCAATAGCTTTATGTCCAAGTGGTAGAGGAACGAGAGACCAAGTATGATTACGTTCCAAAGCTGCAATTTCATCATTCATAGATTGCTGCCATAACGGGTCGCCAACTGTCTCGTCATAGGTTTTAGGTTCTGTTTGGAATGTAATAAGAGCTAGAAAAACACGTTGAGTAGGAGAAAAACGAGAGAATGAAAGGTAATGATGAAGGGGATACTTGGTGCGAGAGCTGGGACTTGGGCTAGAAGTTAAATGATTGGCTCCAGAAGACATCTCATAATCTTTATGTCAAGCTGGAGGCTGTTTAGTACGAGTAGAACATCGGAGTGGAACTGATGTATCAGGTGGGATAGGATTAGAGTTAGTGGGCGAATTTGGAGAATGAACAGAAGGTGGAGGAGACGAAAAAGTAGTAGGTGAAGGAATAGAAGGTGAAGGAGGAATAGGAGGTGAAGGAATAGAAGGTGGAGGAGTACTTTTAGAATAGATGTTTGAGTAGGATGGATCATGAAGTGGTACAATAGGAGTCGAAGGAGCTAATGTCAAAGTTTGTGAAGCTGATGAAAAAGGAAAATCATCTTCACAAAATTTAACATCACGACTGATAAAGAATTTGTGAGATTGCATGTCATACAACTTGTAATCTTTATGACCACAAAGGTATCCTACGAAAACACAAGAAATTGCCCGAGATTCAAATTTTTGCTTAGGATGTACTATAGTTGCATAACATTTACAACTAAAAACTTTAAGATGATGAAATGTAGGTGGTCGTTTGTAGAGTGCTTCAAAGGGTGTCTTGTTAGATAACAATGGTGATGACGTTCCATTTATAAGATAAACAGCCGTTAAAATCTCCCCAAAAATTAAGTGGAATCTGTGACTGAAAGAGAAGAGACCTAGCTACATTTAGGATATGATGATGCTTACGTTCTACGACTTCATTTTGTTGTGGAGTATAGACACATGTGCGCTGAAATTCAATGTCACAAGAAGTAAAGAATGGTTGCAAAGATAGGAACTCAGTCTCATTGTCTGATCGAACTATCTTGATAGTAGTATGAAATTGAGTTTGAACAAATTTAACAAAGTTCATTAACAAATGATGTACTTCTGACGAAAAACTCAAGTACATCGAGTAAAATCATCAACAATAGTGAGAAAAAACTCAAACTAGAATGGGTAGGAATCGAGTAAAATCATCAACAATAGTGAGAAAAAACTCAAACTAGAATGGGTAGGAATTTTATGTGGTCTCCAAACATCACAATGTATCAGATCAAAGGCAGAATGAGGAACTTCTTAGGAAAGGCATCCTAGTTTATTTTTCTAACGGGCAGATAATGCAATTATGAGAATAACTCGCATTATTAAGATGCAATTGATCAGCTAGAAATTTAAAACGAGAAAAAGAAGGATGACCTAGGCGTAAATGCCACAAATCAGATGACTGAGATACTTGATGAGCTGAAAATTTGATTGGAAATGAAGAAATATGATAGAGACCTCCAAATTGTTTACCCGAGCCAATCATCTTCCCCATAGCCAAGTCCTGCATAACACAAGAATCAGGATAGAAGGTGACATAACATTTCAAGTCATTGGTAAGTTTGCTGATGGACATTAGGTTTAAATTGAATGAAGGCACACATAAAACGTTGTTTAATTTAAGGGTCAGGGCTAAGGGAAATATTGCCAGTATGTGACACACATGCTGTCTCTCCATTAGGCAAAGTTACTGTAGACATGATGGCAGCCTTTGGTTCAGTCATAATAGAAGATTTTGATACTATATGATCCGTAGCTTCACTATCGAGAATCCATGAATTAGAACTCATAGAGTTAATAGATAATGTAGATACTGGAAACAAACCTGCAACATTGATGTGATTGTCAGAATTACCAGAAGGGTGATGATTGATTGCAGATAAGGCTTGTGCTATCGGTTGTGGAATTAGGTGACTGTTCTTCTGTATTCAACTGAAAAACATCGGTCATATTTGCAAATGATCAATATCCACGATTGTTGGATTGATTGACTTGTCTTGTCCTTCCAGAATTATTTTTCTATCGACACCGATCTTCTGTATGTCCCCTTCTGTCACAAAATTTACAGTGAAACTTAAGGATTCGACACTCATTAATTGTATGACTACTTTTATTGTAGTGTTCACATGATTTGTCCTTGGCGAATTTTGAATATGCTGTCTTCTTTTGTACTGCTGATGCAATCAAGAAATTCTCAATAGGTTAAGAAGTTACCTAACTCTGCATCTCTTCTTATACAAGTAATGAATAGGCTTGCCTCACATGAGGTAATGGAGTCATCATCAATATGTTAGATCTCACCGTTTTATAAGACTCATTGAGCTCCATGAGCAATTGCATCAACTTGTCTTCTTCGCGTTGATCAATATGTATTTGACGTTGATTACAGGTAAATGGTGTGTGGTACGCTTCTAGTTCATCCCAGAGTGCTTTGAGCTTGGTGAAATATGTTGACAGTGCCATAGTTTCTTGTGACATCATTGCTATCGACTTTTGTATCTAAAAAATTGCTGGAACATTCTTTTGTGAGAATTGATCGTGAAGATCAACCCACACTTGATGAGCTGTCTTGGCGTGAATAATGCCTTTAGCGATATCTGCTTCAACAGAATGAGTTAACCAAGATATTATCATACTGTTGCACTAATTTCAGAGTTCAAATTCAGTTGAATTTGCATCTTGAGACGGTTATTCAA